TATACATACATGAACTCAAATATCTGAGCTATATCCATGAACTCAAATATCCGAGCTGCATCTTTATCCATGAACTCAAATATCCGAGCTGCATTTTTGAACAGCGCACAGGGGTACGCAAAGTGCACTAAACCGCAGCGAGTAGCGCGGGTTGTAGTTTTTTGCGTCTTCAGTTTGATAGTTTGCGAGCGGAAGCGACTGCCCAAAGGACTGCTTTTCCCAGAAACCCACGCGCCCCAATTAGAAACGTCAACGAGCCAGTGAACATTAAGCGGAGCAGACCAAAATCCCAAACAAGGAAATGGTGGGGGAATAAAACGACCAGATTATTTAATTAATGCATGTAATAATTAATATTTTATTTTATTGTAATTTAAGACGTATTTATGGGTTAAAATGGATTACGACTTCAAAACAAAGCTGGCAGCCGAGAGGGAGAGAGTAGAAGATCTGTTCGAATATGAAGGTTGCAAAGTGGGTCGAGGCACCTACGGGCACGTTTATAAAGCTAAGCGCAAAGACGGGTAAGATAACCGTGATCGGTATTGTTTGTTCTGAGATTCAGCCCATTGCAGGATGCATTTTGGGACCGCGAGTCCCGCTTGTGTGTTGAACGCAGCGTTAGATTTGAACCTCCCCGAAGCGATAACCCTCTGCGTGTGTGTGTGTGTGTCTGTGTTTTTGTTTTCATGTAACGCACGCATTCACTCACCAACGGTCCCCCTCTACACTCACGCGCACTCACACTCACACTCACGTATACACACACGCGCATACTTCCTCTCTTTCCTCCTCCTCCACTTCTCTCCCAACACCCCCAAATAGCAACATTAAAACCACGGCTGCTGGTTATCTCTTAGAAAGCGTGGCGGCGAAGGTAGCTCGTTGTGCTGCAGCGCTCCGTAGGGGGCTGCTAGCGACACTTCGGCGGGTTACGGTGGCCCCAGCTTTAACAGTGGCAATACCAAACTTTGTTTACAGACACACTAGATTATTAGGGGCTCCTTTTATTTTTGACAATCTGTGTGAAGCAGAAGACAAGCCCAACATCACAGTAAATGGGATGTTGACGTTTCTGCTTAACTGTTCCTACTGTCAGTACTTAACCGAACCCCGTTTCTATCTCCTTGTGGGCTTTTATTTGACATTTGTATGCTAACCAAGAGGTGAATCACTCTGACCCTTCAGCATAGAGGGGGAACAAGGCAGTAAGTGCTATTTACAAAGGTTAAGATCAGCTACTTTTCCCCCTATCATACTCTGACAGTTCTGTGTGATAACAATATGACATAGGAGACGCATACTCCACACTTACCAATTGCACACATTTTCTATCACTAACAGCAAGTTTGTTTTAAATTGGTAAATCAAACTATTACAGTTTCTTTTTTTAAAAACTAAAGAAAGTTCAGAGAATAGATCATTGCTTTTCAAAAACTAGGAAAATGATACACAAATGTTTGCATGGACCATAAATGTTCTACATATTTGGAGAGATAGTTTGCAGGCCTAAAGTAAAAGAAGCAGTGGCAGAGAGGGGAAGCTATTGAAGGCTCCCAACTGACTTCTGAGGAGGCAGGATGATCGGTAGTCCTTGACTGACTGCAAAATACCTGCAGCAGTGGCTTAGTGACAGCAGCCGCTGAGATTTCAATTCCCAAAGCATAGAACATACTAAGTACTGAGGATCTCCACAACTGACTTTTACGTCAGTTATGGCACAAAGTGCTACAACTGACAGTACAAGAAAAAAACTGTTTGCTCTCATCTACATTAATGAACTTAAAGCAGTTCAGGGATGAATCAAAACTGGGTCTATTTCAGGCTTGCGAACCAGCAATGTGACTGGAGAAGGAAGAATGATTTTTTTTTTTATTTGTCCAGGTCTCAATATTTTGACCAGGAGTGTATGAATTTCTAAGTCTAAAATATCACTCAAACCACAAGCGCGTTAAAACCAGGAAATGTTTGAGTTTTTTTTTGCCTTCAAGGAAATACTGTGTTTGGAAAACATACTTACATGATTATGAAAATGAATGTGAACTTTGGAGTCGATGAAATAGAGAAAAGTCAACAGTAGACAGAGATGAAACAGCTGTGTAGCTTTTAGAAAAGCTCTCATCAGTGAGGCGAATCAAAACAGTTTGCCAGGGTCCATAAAGATTAGCCCTTAGCAATGGAAAAATGTCATGTGGTGTAATGGAGCCATATTTACTCTGCCGCAGGGCGATGAGCAGGTCAGGATTAGAAGAGCGCCGAAAGAATAAAGAGCCAGATTTTCTATTATTAGGTTTATTTATGAGCTCACAGGCATATTTAATGATCATTTCATCAGTTTACAGGTGTCTGGCTCATCAGTTCAGTCTTGTTAAACTGTTATTATAACTCTGGGCAGAATTAAATGGAGTCGTACCATTAGCTTAATGCCTGGAAAAACCTATAAGTATCTTTACGCACATGGCCATGGATCCCACTGACCTCGCTGGTGGGCCCAGGTTCCTGCTAATGTTGCATACAGATGCAGATAAATTAGTTAGCACCTCTGGTAAATATATGTCTAAAGCCATAAAATAGATAATTTTTTTAAAGATTTTTTTGGCTCTAGTGGCCTTTATTTGATAGTTAATTGACAGGAAAGTGGGCAATGAGAGAAGGGGGAAGACATGCAGCAAAGGTCGCCAATGCTGGGAATCGAACCTGCGACAGCTACGTCGAGGACTAAGGCATCCATATGTGGGTGGTGCTAACAACTAACATACAAATGAAATCAGCCATTCACAATTTATATTGTTCTTTAGCTACATCTTAAATATGGATTGTTAGCAGGCAAGAACTGTGGTCAAATTGGAGCAGACAAAAAGTCAGCATTGCCCAGTGGTATCAGGAGTTGGTTCCCTCTGATGGAGCCTGAGCCTGGGTTGGATTGCCAGTGGCAGCAGAGGAGGCTCCAGGGAAAGGAGGCATCACCTGTTCTCACCGGACCCAACCTGTAAAGCTTATTAAAGTGAAAACTCCTGGTGCCATCCCCTGTGAGTGGAACACCGGGAACGAATTAATCCACCTTCTTAGGTAATATGAAGATACTCGACGCTTTTTATTTAACGTCGGTGCGCTTCGCACCTAAAGCCAGACCAATACGCTGCTTTAGCAAGTTAATCCCACAAGAGGGATGGCAGAGCTCAACAAAGTGTGAGCAGGGTTTAATGTGCAAAAAGAAATTGAAGGATTGTCCCTCAATGTGCATTCAGTTTGGAGTTCTGCTCTTGGACTGTTAGACAGGATTAGGAGTGTGTGGCTCGAAGAATGTGCCAACATGAACAAGTAAAGTATGATGTATAAAGCTGTTTACAGTTTTTTTTTTAATCCCGTTTGTTTCTAATCACTGAAGAAAAAAGGTTGAGGACCCAGAAGGATGGGTTATTTTTGTTTTGTTTGTGGACAAAACATCCTGAGAAATTCAAGTTTTAGTATTGCCGTGATTAAATTTGAAGAGTAGACTTTAATTGTTTGTGATTTAAAAAAAAAAATCTAGTTGGAAATAACCTCATTAATTATTTAAAGTGACTGAAATTCCACACATTTACAGAAAGTAAAAAAAATCTCTAAAATTGTTTCACTATGTTTTCTGGCATTTAGAAAAAAGAATTGTACTAATTCAAGAGAAGTTTGGTCTGATTTACCTTTGACAGTAAAGAGTAAAAGATGAATGTGTCTTTTTAGTCAGTGTATGTAGACTTCTTGTTTGAACAGTATTTATATTGGGAGTACAGGTGATGTCATGTTGCATGAGAGAAAGCAGTCACTGTAAAACATGGAGTCACTATTATTCCATAAACAAATTGATTACCTTGTTAACATTCTGTGTTAATTAGGTAGCTAGGTTAACTGTCTTTAGCATCTTGTGTTAGCTTTTGAGGCAGTTAGCGCTACTAACTATATGCATCTGTGTCTGTTTGGAATCTCCAGGGAATTTTAATGAACTGTGAAATTTTCAAAAGTCTGCCAATATTTTCAAGTCCAGTACTTTCTGTCACAGAGACTTATCAAAGGCTTAAAAGCATCAGCCTTTCTGTGACCTGCTAAAGCGTCGCTCACTCTTTAATGGTAGTGTCTTTAAAAATGCTGTCTTCATAGGAATTCATGTTCTCTTTCAAACAGCTGCTTCCATCCTTTGAGTTTCTTCTCTGATGGTGAAAAAATAAAACTTTGACTCTTTTAGTAACAACTTCTACACCAAACAGTTGTTCTTAGTGCAATCTGGAACTGCTTTGTTATTAGGGCTGTAGTGATACAATAATCTCACGATACAATACAATACGATACGATACGATACACAATATTCTGCTCACGATACGATATATATTGCGATACTCAGCAAACGATACAATTCAATACACTTTTGCGATTTTCTGAAAGATTTTAGAGGGACAGAGTGATTTTGGATTGAATTAATTTAACTGAAAACTGATTAAAAGCACCAACTACACAATACCTGCACCAACTACACAATACCTGGCTCTGGTTGGACATGGACACAGACTTAAAGTCAACAGCTGGAGAAAATGAATCGAAGTGGTGAGAAAACATGTTTCTTTTAATTGAAACAGTACAAACTGTAGTTTGCACTGTTGGTGCAAATAAAGTGCACCAAGTAGCCTGCTCTGAATAGTTTGATACCTTTTTAACCTTGACACTTAACATCTGAAGGAATCACTCTAAGCCTGATGACCTAATTACTCTCCTGGCAAAGCAAGCAGTGAGTGAGCAAGGTGACAGTTGGATTTTACGATACTTGTGGATGAATATTGATTTTTTTCATTGTACTTTGGCACTTTTCGCTTCATACCTGTCTGGTGACCAAGTCTGTATTATATTACAGTACATTAATTTTAAAGGAAAAAAACTCAAAAACATCTTAAAAGTTGCTGTGCTGGACTTGTAGCTGAACATATGTCATTACATTTTTGCGAGAAAGTGTATGATTCATAGCTTTGAATGATGTATGAGTGAATACAAGAGGCAACAACAAGTCCCTTAGTTCCTAGTGAACCTCTGAGCATCTGTGTTTTTGCCCTGCAGAGTGCCTGATAAAGTACTTCATGGTCTGAATTTGCTTAAACTATAAGCACCTATTTTGTTTATAGACCAAAAACTGAAATGTGACGAGTGCCTGCGCTGCTCGGTTAGCGTCTGCCAAGTGTGCCTGAGAGCTCCTTTTTTAAACTGCGTCCATCTGGGATGCAAATGAGGCTGGAGAGGGTTTGATGTGAGCACTACTAGGAAGTGTTTGATCTGTGCAGGCTCCGCACTCTGTCAAGTCCTCTCTGGATGCTGCTTACGCTTTAATCATGCCTCTCAGCGCAGGTTTTAATGGGGCCGTTTCTCCCTTTGGCCCTGATTTCCTCCAGTCTGCCTCTCCAACCCGTGGCCCTCAACACAGTGAGGCTACTCAGTTGAAACTATCGCTGTTAGCCTGCAGACTCTGCTCTGCCCTGGAGGCTCACATTTCACTTATTAACTGATTTTCATGCACAGATCTGATTCTCAAGGGCAAATGGGAAAGAAAAGGGAAATGTGCCAGCTGAGAGCTGCAGCCAGGCCAGCGTGCAGTTTGAGTTTCTGTCTTTGCATCAAGGACGAATTTCTGCAGACCAGTGGTTCTGCTGTGGAACATTCTGAATTTACAGCAGATCACCCTGTAGGGAACCCAGGAGAACTCACTGAAGTTAAATGAGCAGTATTATGTAAAATCAACTTTTATTTTCTTTTTTTCTAAGTTTTACATCATGTTATGAAGTTATTCCCTCAAAACTGCCATACTATGCTTAAAACTACAAATCCACATACCCTGCTATTAGAATAACACATAAGGTGTTTATATGTATTTCTTAGTGTAAAAATGTATATGAACACATTTATGTCAGATTTTTTCACATGAGAACATTGTGCTGCTCTACTGTCTAATAGTAATAACACCTCCACTCCTTTCTGCTTTTCTCTCCACAGGAAGGATGAGAAGGAATATGCACTGAAGCAAATTGAAGGCACTGGAATATCTATGTCAGCCTGCAGAGAAATTGCTGTAAGTCCCACTTTTTCTAACTGAGGCCTTAAAGATCCCCATCCTTTAAGAAAACTACATTAGAATCTAATGATGGAGTCAGACATTTGACTTTTTAAGCACTTTTAGCAGATATGTCAAGTCTAGACTTTCTATTAACATTTAATTCTTTGTTGTCCCTTAGTGTTACACAGTTAATACGGTATATTATTAAGAATTACTGTAAAGTTGAGGAGAATGTCTATATTCATTACATGTTGCCTCACTGAACACCAGTTTATGGTGGAACATTATGAGTTGATGAGCTAAAACTAAAAAGACAGCTTTTTGCTTTATATCTATTTTATGTACAGTACCATAAACTCTGAATATGTAGCTTGGCATAGATGTGTACCATAAATTAATCTTTTATTGCAGCAGCACAATCTCGCACAGGAAAACCGTGAAATATTCCATCTTTATTCTCAATGTTTTTCAGTGGGGGACAAAAAATTCCCAGGTTGAGAAATTATTTCTTTTAACAAATGTATTTTTGAAACAAACAATCTCTTTAAAGGGGCAGAATTATGTGTCTTTTCTGCACATAGTGTCATTTTATAGCATAATTAAGAAGCTATTTTACTTTCAGTTGTTATTAGAATGCTATACATATATCAAATATGACTGAAAAGTAATTTGACTTCGTAATGTAAGGCCTTGAAATTGGGCCTTTCTCTCTTTAAAAACCTCCTGCTCTTTCTGAAACTTTGCCTTCAGGAAGTTATCCCAACATGGCTCCTTTATTAACCCTTTAACAGTATTTTTACCAGCATTGCTCTGAGAATTAGCTCCTGTAATGAGCTCAGCAGATGCACAGTTTCACCAGGTGTTTGCTAATTGCTGCTTGCTAGTCTCAAGGAACTAGACATCAAGGACTCCTGGAAAGCTGCTGTCCTCTGTTAATAAACCAAAAGGAGCCATTATGGAGTCAGACAGCAGGTTAATGATCCAAACCATGAGATGGTTCACCATGCACAGATTCTGTCTTCCTCCGTGGCCGTCTCAGTTCACAGACCTGAATCCACGACTTGGCATGGCTTTCATGAGAGAATGAAGCTACACACTGAGTAATGTTTAATCAGAAGGTGTGTTAAGGTCAGGTGTGTGGGTGGTTACATAACAGAAGTCACATCTTTTCTGACTAAACCAGTGCAAGCATGCCTCGCATACCTTTTCTCCACTTGTTTCTGACTCGACTCAGACATGTTTCAGCTGCAGTAAGGACATTTGTCTCCTGGGGAATTGAACCTGTTCTGCAGCTCAGGTTAAGGAGTTCCTTTTGCTGTACAATGTAACATCTTTAAAGACTTGTTGGTTCAAGTCTTTAAAGATGTGGGAAATGCTGCACAGTGAATCATTTACATGACGTTTGAAACTTCAGTGCTGGAAAAAAACGTGCATTTTCACCAACTCATCCGGGAACATAGCTGTCTAACGCTTAGCATAGCCGTTACAGCACAGCACTCACTGAATCTCATCATGTATTGGAACCTGTTCCAATACATGAGCTGCCGTTTGTGATTAGTTTGCAGTAGTTTATCTGTCTCTGAACTGATGGCATTGGTGAACTCACCACGCTGCAGTGATTCCTGTTATCGACTCCTTATCAGCAGATACGCTGACAGTTTACAGCCCTATAGCAAGTACTACAACAACTACTATGACTTCATAACAGTTATCTTAATGAGACTGATACAGTCACTTCTTTCTTTCCTTCTTTTTCACCAGCAGAAATATTTCTAAACAGCTGAAGTTGTCTCTCTTTTATACAGGTTTGAAGAAAGCTAAGATGTTTTACCAATTCATAACCACCATCATTATTATGAAATTGCTCCAATTTCCTTAAGTTTTGGTGATTGGCGATTGGTTGATACTTGAGAAAACGGTGTTATCCACTAAGTTTATCTACCTTTGCAAAGATCTGAAAATCTCTCTTTTTACTGTGTGGCTAAAACGGTCTCAATATTCACAAATGCACAGAGCAAGATTTACAAATACACAGGACAAGATTCACAACTTGTGATTGGCTGTATTTTTGATGCAAAAACAAATCTATTTGATCTACAAGCTGTTTCTGGCCTCTTGACTTTCCTCATCATTTCTGTGTGAGTTTTGAGACTCTCCTGATGTCTCAATCCACAAACGCTTTTTTTATTTAACATAATAATCAGCAACCAATCAGAGCTTCCTTGTTTCAATCAATCATATAAATGAACCCCCACGTTAGGATAACTTATGTATAAGAAAATCACATTAACCCATGAAATATCTATTTAACATATTTAGCTACTTGTCCCCTTATTATGATTATTGATGTTAATCGATTTAATTGTGCAACTACCAACACAGGCTAGCGATGTAAGTGTGTGAGCTGTGATGCTGAGCTATGCTAGCACTTCTGTATGCTAATAGCTTCAGGCTAGTGTCTTTCCTTATAGTTGAACTTCTTGTGATTCAAGTAACAGCCAGCCTAACAGTTGACAGCCTGGGTTTGTTGCCTCTAACAGAGGTAGCAGCTCAGGCTTTTGTGCAATTATTGTCCCAGCAGCTGTTCTCGGCCCCAATATAATAATAGCCTTTGTATGTTATGAATTGCTATAAAGCCCTGGTCTTTAAATTATAAAGTATTTTAGCAATGTACTAACTAATTTAAGACACACTTTTCAGGAACACAAAGTGATTTATTTACTTATTTAATACCTGTCTCTGTCTACATTACGGCCTTCACCTGTGAGGATGGGATATGAATCATGATTTAAGGAATGAGGTATTAGATACAAAAAAATGTCCAAACTCTGCTTCAAAGAGCTGATGAGTCAATGATTGTGATGAACATCACAGAAAATTTGCTTCTGTATGACCACCATATGGTGGGCGATATGGACAGAAGTATGATTTGTATCTCTAAACTTTGCACATTAAGAGCATTAAATCACATTTTCTAATTTATTGATATTTTAATCCTGAGCCACTGAGAACTGTTCAGCCGCAATCATTGTTCTTCACAATAAATCAGTAACAATATATATCACGATAGACACATGATCAATATCAATATATAACACACCTGACAAAATATTCACTATGGAAGATTCACTCAACTCTGATTCAGAACCACACAGCATTCTGGGGGATGAAGGCAGAGGAAAGGCTTTAGCAGCTCAACCTCTGTCATGGAAGACATGACTTTAACAAGAGTCTGGATGAGAAGAAAATAAGAAATTTATTAAAACCTTGCAAGGTGAGAACAGAAATACAGAGTCAAAGGTGTCTGTCAAGTCTGCTATGACTAACAAGGATCTGACTTCCTTTTATACGTAGGTTCTAGTCAGAGAAGAGAGACTTGATTGGACTATAGGTGTGAATGCTTGATTGTTATGTACCAGGGATTCTGTGGAGCCCAACACAGATGGTCTGGCCATTTGTCTGTTGTTAAGGAAAGAGGGTTGTTCTTTCATGCTAAAGAGGAAAATAAGTTCTATATTGGGGAAGTAACACTTAGTCTCCAGGATCAAGGAGCTCTCCCCTGCTGTTATATGACACTGCAGAGGTCTTGAGAGCAGCTTGACCAATATCATGATAAGACTATATAGAAAAACATAAAGCAGAAGAGGGATGAGGAGCACATTATAAAATTTTCCATTACACCTCTCACAGCTTGCTAAGAAAAGTTGTTGGTATTAATTAAGAGACTCGCTAGAGTAACTTGGGCCTCATAACTGCTAAAAAGTGGAAAAACAACAGCGAGGAGTGAAAACTGGATAAAACAAGAAAAGTCACATCACCAGTTTGGCAGTATTTCAGATGTTTAAAACAAAAAGACTAATCAATAATTTTTGATATTGACTGATATGAAATGCTTATGTCATGATATGTTTTTCAACCACATCGTCCAACCCTAGTTTCAAAATATTTGTGATTTTGTGTTCATGCAGTTCAACTCTGACAGAAAATGAATGAGGGCTGACAGGTTGGTGGCTCTCCTGTAGTGAAACTACTTCTGTGACTGTTCAGACATGTCTGCCAAAACATGCAAATATGAGTCGAGTTTAAGGCACGCTACACATGCTACAGCAATCACACTCCAAACGGAGTGTGATTGCTGCTAAAGGTGCTTCAGCAAAGTATTTCGTATTTGGGGTATTTTGTTGAAGAGTTTGTTCCTTGTGCACTCTATTTTATTTGATACTCTGATGTCAATTAGTGTTTGTCATACACGTTTTATATGTTTATCGTCCTCATCAGTGGGCGAGCGTTTCCTTTTCTTATTCTGTTGCAGATCTTGTTTTTCCAGTTTGAATTGAAATGCTAATGTAAAAAGTCAGTTTGTGGATAGTATTTGTGTGTTTTTTTTGATGTGCTATAAAGAGGTGTTTCTTTTTTTTTTTTAAATCCATAATGAAATTTGTGTATTTTGCAAAATTGCAATTTTGCAAACACTTTTTTTCATATCACGAGTCATGCTAGTTTGTATACAGCAGCAACCTGCTTATTTGTTGCCACTGGCCTCCTTGGATAATACACAGCTGGCTCCACCAGAGCTCTAACAGCATGGCACTGTTCATCAAAAGTTGAGTTTGTCATTTGACACTGTTGAATCCGTAGATGTTCTGTAAAGTCACTGACTACCATTTCCCAAAATGTTGCAATTGCAGCTGCTTTCGAGCAAAAGGAGCTTGTCACTTCAATGCCTCAAGACTCTGATGTTTTCTCTGATGGCTGATGATGAGCACCAGTGCCGTGACTGAATTACAAATATATTTCTTGTGCTACCATCCATCACCACCATGATTTTTAATGACTTAATGACGTAATTTTAATAGCAGCAGCCAATGTAGGGAGATACCGCATGGAAACCTGTTCCAGATGACTGTGGCTCTGGAAAAAGGCATCGTACAAAACAATGGCTCAATTCCACAAAAAGGAAAACAACGGAGCAAAATTTGAACATCCTTGTGTCATTGGAGAGTTACAGTTGACTG